ATATCTTCAGTTCATATCCCAATGCATATCTATTATAAACATACACCCTTCATAAATTTAATCGACCCTTCCAAAGTTCCAAATCCAGGCCGTCTGGTGCTTTACCCTAAAAAGTTTTACCTGCTCCAGCGAATTTTCAAACCAGGTGTTTTCGCTCGCCCCACCTCGCAACGTTTGACAAGCGTATTTTCGAAGAACACCCGAATAAAATATAAATGAAACTTTCTGCTTTCCTAACGTTTTTATAAAGAAAACTAATAAAAGAATCGTCAAATAAAACAAATATTACACAACTAATCTACTACTAAAGATTAATTCTTTGATGGTAAGGACAACAGGTAGTAATTTATAATAAATGTTTGCTATAAAGATGATTTTTACAGTATTTTCTAAATTAGAATCTATTATCAAAATACAAATTGCAACTACTTGTACTTATAAAGATTTGCAGATTTATTAGCATTCAGAAACGTCAATATAACAATGTTGGTAATTCTCAAGCACATTAAATTCCCATTTCAATTTTAAAGTAAACTGTTACATATCAAATACTATGGCCCTAATAAAGTACAGGGAAGCTTATTAAAATTAAATGCATAAATCAATAGAGACCTTCTGAACGCTGGCGATTTGCCGGTGAATAAAGAAAAGTTTGAAAACAGTTTTTAAAAGTTTTCTATTTTCAACTCCAATAAATTGCCTTCACAACTAAAAGTTTCGGTGTTTCCCAACTAGTATAATAACTACGAACTTTAATAGCGTTAATGCGCAATAAAAACATTTAACTATACATTTTTACTTTATCATTCGTACAAATACAAATTTTTATACAAAATTTCTAATTACACAATTAGCAGACACCTACTTATTAAATAAAATTCCAGAGCGTTTATTTAAAGCATTCAACAATGTAAGCACACACCTCGATCGCGTTTATTGTTTTAATAACCGTCTAGAAATATCACTGGCAAATATGTTTTAATAAAGCACATTCCATTCTAGTTTGCTTCCTTACCAGGTTGTTAATAACATTAACAATCTGATGACCTTTTCCTTGAGACAAAATTTAAATGTGCTAAAATTCCTACGATGTGATTCAGCACAATTGCGATATGCAATGGTGATGAAATATTAATCATGCTCATCGGACACTTCTTTTAATATTAATATGGGTTTTTCCTTATTTAAACTGTTGTATTGTAACTATAATTAAAACGCTTTTAAATAGAAAATAGTTTATTAAAATCATTAACTTACTTTTGGTATTATTATAATTTATTAATGTAATTAAATTTGTGAAACAAGTTTTTTACGTCCAATAAACCGAAATTTCCAAAAAAATATTGTCAAGGATTAGTATAAGTAAGTTTCAAAGATTGTATTTTAACAAATTCTTTGGCCACTGAACTTGCAAGTTGCCTTGAAAATTTAAGAGTAGGTGTATGATCTGCAAACATGTCTATTTTTTAGCGCAGCATCGCACATTTTCGATCAAATTTTCCGAATAATAAAATCATTTATTTCAATAACAAAACGCAGAAATCGAAGAGGTCGTTTCACTCTAAATTGAAAAATAATTTTAACAGTACGTACGGAATCCGAGTCATTGGCACCGTTGGTTCTGCTCGAAAATACTGAACTTGGCAAAAATGTATTTAGAGATTTCGCATTCGTCGTATTCTCTCTGTACTAATTTTATCTCTCCCGGAGAGAGAAATGAACCTTCGACCGACTAATTTATCACTCTTTGTATTTTCAACACTCCCGAATTAATAGTTTTTCGGGGGATACAAAACGCGTTTCATTCACGCTTCTTTCGGGAACCGTTTCCTGGAAATGGACTGACGCGTTTTCGGAGCATTCCAAATTTGGATTAATTTGTCAAGGAAAACGTGTAAAATACTAGCTAAAAGGAATAGAAAAAATTGTACTAATGCGTTTGTTAAAAAAAAGCAAAGGGAATTCAATGGCGAAGTAAATTCCATAAGAAATCGTCCCAGACAGCAAAAGACATATGGTCCAAGTTTAAAGGTCGCTTTATAATGAGCAGGTGTTTGGTGAAGCAAAATTCGCCCATCTGGTAGACAAAGTATGTTAACCTCAACAGCCGAGGGGCGTTGGGGTGACTATAAAAGTGCCTCGTACAAATCGAATAAGAAAACTTATTGTGCAATATTCTTGGAAATTAAAGTTTATGCATAAGCAAAATCAATCTATAGATAGATACCTAGAAACGCTACTATTCCTTTATAATATGCAAACGATTCTCAATACACGTCTCTCGTGTAATGAACGACATTGACATTGTTCGTGAAGATTCTATTATTATTTCCACGTCCAATGCAACACAATTTTCCGTTTATAGAAACTCGTGAAAATCCCTCTACGTTTACTAGAAATGTAGTTATTACGAAATACGTCCGCATTTCGCTTTAATTCGCAGAGAAAATAACAATACCTTGGAAGTTAATCGGCAAAATAAATTGCCTCTCCGGTCCACCGAAGCAAACTGTTTATTATTAGTTTTGAGGGACGCACGTGCTTCGCGCAGCTTTTATGTAACTTCCCAACGACGAATCGTTGGAATAGCGTTTATCAAAAAGTCGTCGAGAGAGAGAAAAAAGAAACGAAATGTTGCATGTAGATTCCATCGGATGAAGTTCAAAGATAGTTTTCTCTCTACAGCTGATAATAATGTTTGTAGACAGGTAGGTAGGTATAAGAGATTCGAGGTAGGTAGGCAGATGTTATGAGTTTTGCAATTTATAGTTGAACGATTTTACAGGGTTGACTTCCACCTTTACTTTGCAATACTACAATTTGCACCTTATAAATCGAGTCGAACAAAAATGGAATTGAATCAAAATTTTACACCGATGTTTTAGCGTTAATTCGCCTAGTATTAGATGCGCCAAGCGGCTAGCACAACCAATAAACACGGTTGATTGCCCATTGAATCAATAGATAATAAAAAAAGATTGTTTAGCAATCAATAAATTAATTGCAGTTCTATTTGAACAATTCCAAAGATTTAAATAATAATAACGTGTTATTTGTGTAATGGCCATTAGGTAGGTGTACAAAAGAGATTCAAGGTTGCAAACGATCCGTTTTGTTTCCGAAGACAATCGAAATTTTCATAGCGGATGAGAGTGCAACATCGGCACAGAAACATAGTGACAGAGTTAAAGATATTCTAGATTAGAAGACGATTTTTTTTACAAATAATGGAAAAATAAAATCGTAAAACGTGTTGCATTGAACCATGAGACTATTCAAAAAGCTAAAAAGTTTTGGATTAGAATTTATTCATCCATATTATACATGGGAAGGTCAATAAATAATTTCTAAAATGTCGATTTGAAATTGCTATGTACTAAGTAGAAGGTTACACTTTTTTAATTGGTAATTTAGAGCCGACAGGTAGGTTATGTAATTGAATGTATTCGCTTATTTTAGATTTTGCATGAGCTTTTTGAAGACCTTGTAATATGACGTTTATTAAACGAATTTAGCTTCGAAAAAATAGTGAAAAAGCAAATATCACAGTCCGAATTATTCTATAATTTCCAGTCTTGCTTATTTTCAAACAAACATGTTTTTGAATCAACAAGTTTTCGAATTCAAAAACCCATTACATTAATAAATATTTTCGGCAAGTTTATTGTACTTACGAAAATACTTGTTTGTCTTTAGTCTTTATGCAACCGATTCACCTTCTTTCCGCCGTTGTTTTTGTTGATTTCAAAAATTTTATTTTTCGAAAATTGTTTGTTTAAGTAGGTAATTATATTTGCACAGAAACGTAAATATTTTGGAATTTTTACATCGTAATTTCTAAAGATCTCTCTGCTATCGCTTCTTTTTTCTCATATATGTAACATTTGCTTATGATAATGGATTTGTTGTAAATGTTACGCAAATAAAACCGAAAGTTTCACTTAAAAGAATAACGAGATGCTTTGAAATGATTAAGAGAATGGCAGAAGGTTGGTTTATTTGTGAGAAAAAAGAAATTCGAGAATTGCAGAAAATTAGCTCCTTTCATTTTTGTGTGGTAGATAAACTACAATTCAAAGCTAATTCTCCATCATTATGATATTTGAATGTTAATTACCGCATAGCGGTTATTAGGTACTCGTGCATTCTTATCAACGAACAAGGTCACAGTCAAAGATCAAGTTTTTTTTAATAATACTACCTCACAAGGACATTGGTAATGGAATTGAAGAAAAATCCTTATCTCTTCATCAAACCATTAGCATAGCAGAAGTTACATGCAAATTTTATTGTTAGAAATTCTATAAATACAAAAGATAACATGCTATTAATAGAAAAATGAGCAAAAATAGCTCAGGGAGAGTAATAAGGATTTGAAATGAAATAGTACTTGAAAGGACGTGAGAAAGGACCCAATGCAAGCACCCTCGACCAGTAATAGCTCAAGGACAAATCAAGGTTATTGAATAATCTAATCTGTAACACAAATTGGAATTGTGCTCGTAATAATTGTAACTAGGTAAGTAGGTCTGACTAGCAGACATGTAAAATATGCGTTAGTTATAAAATAAAGCTATAAGGTCACAGCGAATAAACGAAAATAAAAAATGTAGGAATCCCTATTGGAATATTTGGCGTTTTCTGCTACTATAAAGAAGTTACTGAACTTTGTCACAATAACGGTACAGCTGGCGTAAATAGTTTTAAATTCAAAACATCGGTGAAAATAAGCAATACATTCATAAGATAAACACAATTTTAGAATTTACAATATGTATATCATACAACAAACATAATTGATAGATAATAAAATAATCTATTTAATGTTCCCTGTATATTATTTATTTATTAATATATTCCATATTTCTTTTGAATTGAAATACGCAATTTTATGTATTATTTGAAACGCACATAATACGAAGTCCAAAGTGCTGTCTGTCTCCATAATTTAAGTAGGATATTATTAAGATAATGGAATTGTACGACTAAAAGAAACTTACCATCTTTTTCGCTTCTCTTAATATGAGTTTCGAGCTCCTCTTGGGTGTACTCGATTTTTCTCTCACTTGAGGTGGTGCACACTTTAGTCCTTTTTAGAGCTTTTCCCATGTTCATGCCATCAGTATCGGATGAATCGCCTTCGAAAAAACCACTTTCTTTGGTTTTCTTGTGGCAACGCATTTTCAATAAATGTGCTTGATTCGTTCCTCTTATTCACTTATTCACGAACCTAACTCATGTTTTGAAACTAGATGCCTCTCTTCTGTTGTCATTTTGAATTAAAAAGTAAAAAGCGACAATTTTTATTTCACGTTATTTAAACAGTTATCGAAAGTAGGTCGTGAAATAACAGTTAAGAAAGTCACAAAATTCCACGAATTTCGCACATAACTATCCGAAAACTCACAAATTATCCGAAAACATACGATAATTGTATCTTCCACGAAAGACACTTATCACAGCAATTCAAAACTTCAAAGTAATCTGGTTGTTGTTGTCAAAATAAGTAGGGTTATGTTAGACACTTCTAATTCATTTTCTTGCAATCACGGCCACAAATCGAACAAATTTCGCTAAAACTGAACGTCCTCACGACACACAAACTGATAATTATACTGTAAATACTTCTTAATTGTTAAATTTGTAATTGTAATTACAACTGGCTCGTCGTACCGACAAAACCACTGCGAATGTAACTGTGTTTCTGAAACCGAAATCAAGTAAGGTATCCATATTGCATGTTCTGCTCTCATCCCCTCTACTTCCTACTTCATTCTCGCTAGCTTTGCGCGCTCAACGGTTATTTCACAATGTTCTCCAATATTTCAATTACCTCCAATTCGTACATTTTTATTTTTTATTTTTGTTAATATTTTTAGATACTTAGATTTCGCCTGTAGAAAAAATAATGCTAAACAATTTAATATAGAAATTAGTGGAAAGAGTCAAGGTACAGAGAATGAAGTACGGTAGCGAGTGAAATGGTTATACTTTTGAATAGAGACGGAACGGTAACAACAAAATCAGCTGCTCGAGTCTGGTCGAATCGACGTTGCCAACTTGATCAATACTTCTACGTTCTAGAGATATTATTGATCGTTAATTAAAAATTTTATGGCCAATCAGAGATTTACAATACATCTTTGCTATTTGTTATATTCATGTAACTGTTTCTAATTACTTTTTCACATCTAACGAAATAGTAATGTTCATAATAATATTTTGGAGATTAGAAGGAAACGAGTAACGGGAGAATTGACTATGCCGCAAATTCGCTATTTTTGTAGTTATCCTTGTTAGCAGTTTCAAAATTAATTTGCACGATAAAAATTTTCTGTGTTTGTGGAATAATTAATATTTTGGAATTAAATAGGCGGCTCTGCGTGTTTTTATGTACCACAAACAGAACAAATATTTGTTATTAAGTACTCTTGCTTACGAAAATATTTTATCTCGAAATTTATTAAGAGCATTCCAGAGCTACCTATAACAAACACACTTAATTCAAATTTAAAATATCTCTTATTCATCGTGAAAATGGCAAATCTGCAATTCAAGAGTAATACCTAATTTTTTGATTGGGAATTCCCTGCTCACATTTATCATTTATCAATCTTTTAATTAAAATAAATAATAAAAATACCAATGCATCCTCTAACCACTTGTCATGGTTAGACAACCAACATTACAATATATGTTCACTTGTAAATTTCTTACATACTAGGCAACAATTTTAACACACATTTTTGTGTTTGCGCACGAATATGTAGCGTATCGATCAGATTCAAAAATTTTGGGGTATAAATTGTTCATAAAGCGGAAGAATAAGCTTCCAATATCATATCGTTTCCAAATTATGTGTGAAGGTTTCGGGAAGTAGGTTAATTATAGGTATAGTAGGCATTGTGTAACAATAAAGGCCCGACATAATGTAAATCGATAGGAAACCTTTTACCTGTACACCGATAGACGAAGTTTTGTCGTTTGCTCGAAATCGATCAATAAAAACAAAATTTAAATGATATTATGAAGTATATTTACTTGTTGAGAATGGAAGATTTTTAAGAATGCGAACATTCATAATAAAAAGATATTATTTTTTATATTTATTTATATACGGTGTTAATTAATTGAGTGCCTATACTTCAAGATGTGAATACTTGGATGATTTTACAAAGAAAAGTTTATATCAATATTTGTGCTAAACCTCCTAGTTTTAAACTACAGGGTGTTTTATCTTTTGGCTCAAAAAATGGTCCTTATTAATTAAAAAGTGTGTACAAAATTTCATACTAATATCTGGAGTAATAAGAAAATTATGATAGAAAAGTTTGTAATATGGCCAATTCTATGAGTTGAACAAAACGGTTATTAAAATTAGTGGTTAGAGTGGGAAAGTTATATTCCCACAATATCACTCTTCTTTTTTCCATTCATGAGACTAATATAAGTTGTATTTGTTGCACCCATAGCCTATATTGCAAACAATTTTGCATCAACCTGTATATTGACAAAAAGGTTTTGTTCTTTAAATTTTGCTGCATATTTGAAAAACCTTACAAAGTAGGTACACTTTTTTAAACACTACAATAATCCCTCTATAGTTAGGACAGAAAATATATAACTTTTATACGAGGGGTTAAGGATAAATAGCTTGGCAAAGCTATCTGTTTAAAAAAACAGCTGGTACATTGTTCAGTAACTTTCCAGTGGGTGCATGTGTTATTTTTTTCGAAAGCATTTAATCACTATCGGCATTTTCATAACGAGTTTTCTCGCTATTTTCCGCCGGATTGGCCGGCTGCCATTTAGCACGTCCTTGTCGCATATACGAAACGCTTATTCTATTTTTCTCGTACCGATTCGTATTCTGGAACTCGCAGAAGTCCGGTATACACAGGTATTGGCCAATGCATTTTACAACTTTCCATCTGGGTCTCCAAAAAGAAAACAAACTTCCCACGTGCGAGCGACGCTCACACAGCGTAATTTGCATAGTGTTACCGGCGATTTATAAACAGTCCGATTGAACTCGTTCGGTTCTAAAAATAATTTATTCCATCGACGCAAGGTTAAAATTATATTTTTACAATCAAAACATTGTATTCCGAAAATCCGCGAGATAGTCCAAAAGCGCAGTTTTCCCAGTAAATTCGGCGCTAAAAATAAACACAACTCGTTTGAATTTTGTTTGGATACATTCAAGTTCTTGCAAAATTTGGTGTACACTCAAGGTTTCGTATTGTAAACCAAAATTGTACGTAGTATACTTCGAAAATGAATTTTCCCGCATTAAATACTCACCATATGTGATATCATGCGTCACAGTCTCATCCAACGATACGATTACAGTTTGTGTCATGTTCCGGATAGACGGTGAGGTGGCCGGTGATTTCGACAGGGGCACCGGAGTTTTGGTGAATTGTTCGCCGCCGCTCGTCCGCGTTTCCATCGCGGACAATCCGAAATACACCTGTTGTCACAACAAATACGCCCACGCACACTTTACCGTCCCATCTATTTTCCGAAATCACGTTGCAATAGCACGGCTTTTTTATTTCCTCTCCCGGCGAAAGGTTCGACGCGCACCGACGATATTTTATCGATTTCGACAATTAGCGCGATCCGCTGCGGCCGGAAAACGCGTCCGAAATAACCGACATTCTCGCCTCGTCGGATTGTTGTTAATTTTTCCACGAGATTCAAGAGCTCATGCTTGGAAATGTCAATTCAAATCGCCTAAGATTGGAGTAGTAGGTTAGTCCATACCGCTCCCTACTTCATTTCGTTCGCATTGCTTTTGCCATACCCGGGGAATTGAAAATCCTATGCGGACGTTAGTAAGAGCGGTATCGGGCTCGATTACATTATCTTCGTTTTCTTTTATTATTCATCTATTTTTCTCAAACAACCACAAGCGGAATATACCATAATTATAAATATTCACAAAACTGGAAAGAATAATTTAAAACACTGGTTAGTAATTGGATAATTTTTATGCTTCGTAATAATTTGTTTTGGTTTGCATACTAAAGCAATTGCCAGGACATTCCATTGTTAATACCTATTACATCATAGGCAGTAGTGATGACAGAAGAAAACTACAAATACATTTTACGCCAAGGAATGCTTGAACTCTTATTTAAAGTGCCTAAAGTTGGAGTTCTATTGATTTTTTTAGATTGCCTCTATTCAATTTGCGGTTAGTAATATCGGAATAAGTAACGGATTTTCCCTCTTTACCATCGATTTTTTACTCCTTTTTGGGTCAACCTAATAACTTGTGATAAAGCACCATAAAAACAATAATAACTAGAACTTATCGAATGTCGCAAGCTAATTTACTTTGGTAATAATCGCTTCTACTACAACAAAACCTTGATAATGATTATCTTACATCTTTGATTGCTGTAACAGTGTGTATATTTATACGAGCCATTTTCACTTAAATAACTTGTTGCTGGTTCATATTTTATCATTTACGAGCAGATATAAAAAATGTAATTTCTAATAACTTCGTCGATTTGGTTTAAAATCGTATCGAAATTCGTTCACAACGAAGCCAATTCTAAAAATAACTGACACTTAGTTGTGTGACCACAATTTTTATCTGACACTTGTTGCTTCATAATGTGGTTTGTTATTAAATTTAATTAGTTAACATGATTTCAGATATTGAACTAGACATCGGTTATACAATAACAAATTTGTGTATTTATAATATTAATTGTTTATTTTTATCGTCCGATTTTTTACCGAAGGTTGCCTCAATCATCTACATAACCGGTTTTTGCCGGCTGGCGTTGCCAAAATTATTCGATTTATAATAAAATATGTGTCTGTACTCCTGCACAAGCCTATAAATTTATTGTAATTGCATCGGTACGTACCTGCTGCTACGCCTATGTCCCGTCCTCCTGTCAATTCTTAACCTTGGTTAATTAATTTTAAATATCTTCGCTAAAGTATGCGTTATTTTGATATTTTTATCTATTTACCTAGGTAATATTTCAATGGCATGCGTTTATTCTTTATTTGCTTTAGCGAATATCTGCCTATGTTTACTTAATTTATACCTACAGAGATAGCGGTTCATGTAATCGTAATTATATGCTACATTTTTTAAAACCCATTAGTGTTTAGGAATACAAACAATACAGTGCTATTTTTTTTAAATAAAAAACCCTTTCACAGAATGCGAGAAGTACCTTCAGCAACCAGGATCCGTATGGAAATACTGCTAAACTTCGATCATTATTTCATCTAAATGTTTCCGTTTCAAATCGGGCACCAAGCACCCCTCCGCAGGATATCCCACAGGAATCAGTAGCGTCAATTTTTCAGAAAGAGGTCTACCCAGTAGCGTCCTGAGGGCCGGGCCGCAATTCAAAGGGGTCGATGTCAGCGAATAAAGGCCAGCATACTAGAAAAAATATTTATGCAACTCTTTAAATTAAAATCTAGTCGAGGCAAAAATATTATACAGACTGAGAGGAATAGCTGGAGACGGGAGTACGATGCGCAACATGTTAATTTACTTACGTGAATAGCAGTTAGCAAAATTCCAGTGGCCAAACTGACGCTCTGTTCGTTGTAATAATGCATTTTCTTCTTTCCATCTTCCCTGTAGCTGTACAATTGCTTGAAGATGCATATGATGTATGGAGCATCGGTGAGATACTCTTTCAACCAATTGACTTGAAGAGGTTTTAAATCGGTGGTCCAGGTTTTGCCCATTCGCTTTTTGTAGTTGATTTCCTCTTCGTTTTCGACTATTTCTCGGATTTTCTGCTTGACTTCGTACGAGCTCACCACGACGTAGGTCCACGGTTCCGTGTGGGCCCCACTGGGCGCAGTGCCTGAAAATTATCTACTGTCGAATTTCCTCAAAGGGTAGTGAATTGTTCATTCACCTGCTGTTTTGATGATGTTGCGGATGATTTCGATCGGTACTGGTTCGTTGCTAAAATGCCGAATGGTTCTTCTCGCGTTCATTAACGTGTAGAAATCTTCTGCTCTTCGTAAAGATTCTTCGCTGGAAAATCTGGTGTATTCCAGAGGAATGTGTTTGAGGTCTTTAGGTAGTGCTGGCGTGAGTTCATCTTCCTCCCCACCTTCGTTATCAGATGATGATGATGATGAAGATGATTGCAATACTGTAATAGATTTGTGCTGGTAATGATGACAAGATAAAATCTTGAAGTATGTACATGTGGTGCAAAGTAAATTGTAATTAACGAGCAAATATAATGACTGGAAATGTTTTTGTTTAACATGCGAGAACAAACATTTTTGAACAAATTTAAAATTCTAATTATTGTCTGGAGTATTTCCAAATTAAGTGACATGCTGATTACCTCGTCGATTTCGTTTATTTTTTCTTTGCATATAAGTTACCTAAAATTTGCATTTTAAAAACTTTTCAACCGTAATTAACCACTCAAACTTACTTTCGTAGGCTTCTTCGTTCTTCTTGTCGATGCCTCGGAGGGTTTTTTGCTGGGATTTCGAGTAAAATATGTAACCGCCTCTGCAAATCGCGTACAAAATCAACCCGACAACGAAATATTGCCAATACAACTCGAAGAACATGTTCGCTTTATCGTTTTATTTGCAACTGAGTAGCGAGAGATAATTTGCAGATCTTTCAGTAATTCATTGACGCCTTGACCTACATTTGCAGAACACAACAAGTGTTTTGATATGTTGTTAAACATATTTATTTAATAAAAATTTTCATTTTTGTAGATAATGGAAAGGACTTACCACTAGACACGGTAGAATTCAATGTACTAAGCAAACTGTTGTAATTTAAATGAGTTGTAGGGAGTGTCTTCCTTTTTCCTAATTTCAATAATGATTATTTTGATGACTATGCGTGCTAGAGTCACTACAATTATCGATTTATTTCATTTAAAATATGTGCTAGCGGTCAACAATAAATTTACATATGTATACACTTCTACCAAACCTAATCTGAAATAATAAAGGAATTTATTAGTTATTAAATAAAACACCTTAATATTTAAATATTTTGTGTTTCTCTATACATTCATATACAATGGACAAAGTATAATTACAAAAAGGATTTTCACTTGAATCGTCTACAGTAAATAGTTTAAAATAGCGATATGCCGTCTGATCAGACCATCGATGTTGTGTAAGATAGATTTATCTAAATGATTTACTAATATCAATAATTTCCTACAGTTCAGATGAAAATGCTTCGTAAATTATACTTTTCGTACAATAAGCAACAATTGTTTTTTAAATAGATATTATAAAAAGATGATTTTTTGTTTCTTATCGTTTGTAAGGCATTCGAACAGTTCCCCTTTATTATTAAAAAAAATCTAAGTACCTATAACAAGAACTGACACGTTTCTCTCTTTGAGATTAGAAACAAGTAATTATAAAAAAATAGGGAACTTGGTTATTAGGCATAAAAGTAGATACATAATATAATAAAAATATAAATACGTCACATCACACGAACTAAAACTAAATTAATTTGTATATTTACAGTTAAAATTAATATTAAACGTATCGAATATTTAATAATAATTTAAAGAATGATCTACTGGTTTTCAAAGTGGTCAAATTTTATTTGATAATTTTGATAAATACCTAACGCGGAGATATCAGCTAGAAAATAGGTAACTTATAATTATAATGACTTTTCAGTTTTCTCCTTTTAAGTCCTATGAGAAAAATACCTATAGAGGTACAAAAAAATCCTTTTCTTAGAAGAAACATTAATTCACTAAAACAATCGGTACCAATTCCTTGATTCTATTTAATAAAAAATAACTCGGTAAAATATTTATAATATGGCATCTTCAAGATTGTCCCTCCAATGTAAAGAATCAAAAAATCAGCCGAAATTTACGATACAATAAATTTCTTTAATACAGTTTTAATAAAACCACTCGTATAAAATTCTTAGGTATAGTAAAGACCGTAAAATTTGTAGTATCAGATCGTAAACAGGAAAGTAGCTGAATGATTTATACGTTTGTAGCTTATTTTTAGATTAAAAAATGGTACATTTGGCACAATTTGGCACATAAAAACATAATTAAACGAATTACCCGCTTTGATGCGTCTGCAGAATATACCGGTGGTTTTATTAAAGCTATAAAATTTTTAAATATACTTTCTTGTAACAGCTAAATCACAGAATAAGTTTTAACTAAAAATTACAGCGAAACTCGTCGTAACGGCTGGCAATTTTTAGCAATCCAGATTTCCATGATAACAAATTAACCGATTAATGAACACAAATTCGAAGGAATCCTACTATATACAAAGGGTAGTCGGAAAGTTGTCAATTAAAAATTAGCCGAAAAATAAAACGCTTCATAATTTACTTAACATCTAAATTAGAATCAAATACTTTGGTTTTTTGGTTTTTAAGCTACCAGTGCGTGGAAGAGTTTCTCAGTTGTACATAATAAATTGTCGTTTTGGCCAGCTCACTGCCTAATGCTACATAAGAAGATTAAAGCTATACTCAATGTTGTTAACGAAGATGCCATTGCTGAAGAAGCTGAAGTTTTGGAAGCTAAAAAAAATAAATATTTTAACATAATTAAATATTACAATGTTACTAAATAGTTTCCATTAAATTTATAGATGTGTTAATTATTATATTTATATGTGTAGTTTTATAATACTACCAGCAGTGTCCATGATTCCACATGCAAGTGATAAAAGAATGAAGTAAAATGTAAAAGCACCCCACCCTGAATTCCCATTAAAATAATCGTAATAAAATCCCTGTTGAATCGACGAAACGTAACATAAAAAAATAAAATAAAAAAATACCTCCTACGGGTGCTTCTTTTTGTATAATTTCTTGTTGACGAGGAGCAGATGTTGCTTCTTGTTGGGCAGAAATGTGTTTTTCTGTACAAAAAAAATCGTGGAAAATGAATGAAAATGTTAGTTACTAACCGTAAGAGTAAAATTAAACAAAATGAACCGAAATGAAAATATTCTAATTGTTAACGAATTTCTAAGAAAACACAAAAATACTGAACACCGTTAACAGAAAACTAAAAACCAACAAAATCTTTTAATTAGTTTCATAACGTCCAAAATGTGAGTATTTATTTTTTATATACACAAAGCAAACATTAAAGCTCAATGGAATTTGATAACTTCGACATAATATGTACACAAATTTTACAGTATAACGACCAATTTTTTTATTAATGTTTGCTGTTCTTTACCAAAAATATTTCGTAAACAACAAAAAAAATATTATAAAAAAACGTGAGTATACCTTTGAGTTCTTTTTCTTTTTGGTCTTTATGGTGGTTTTTGTGGTGTTTTTTGTGAGTTGAAGAGCCATGTTTAGCTAAAACTGTGCATATAGCAAGAAAAATCAGATATTAGAGCGCCGCAAGCGAAAAAGCTACAAAAAAACAACTACAAGTCAATCTAAAGCCACGCTACTTACCACCTTCGAAAGGTATAATGGAAGAGTACTCGGACCAACCGTGCTCGCTCTGCGAACGCACTCTCGTCTCGTACGAACCGGCATCCAAATCTTTCAACGTGTATTTTACGGTGTAGACATCCGACTCGCTTTTTGTCACCTCAGGTTTCGCCACATTCCATTCAGTTTCCTAAAAATATTACATTTAACACATTTTACCTCGAGCGAAGCATAACTAGCCAACCGATGTAATGGAAGATACAATTGATGTAGATAAAGAAGATGTTAAAGAAACTTACTCCTTTTTTCCTGTACTGGATTTCGTGGGCGATAATAGGCGAAGAAGATTCCACCTTCCATGTAAGTACGACGTCTTTGTTAGATTTATCCGGCTTGGAGAATTCTCTGACCACGGGAACTTTCACCAAACTGATGGACTTCTCCATTCTGCCCAACGAGTTCCTGGCCAGGCAGGTGTACGTGGTGAAATCGTCGTCGGCTAAATCGGTAATTAGGAGTTTGCTTTCGATGAACTTCTGTCTTCTGTCGATGCTGATCTTAGTTTTGCCTTCGTTGATTATAATTTCGTCTCCCTTCTTCCAAACGATCTTCGGTTGCGGGAAAGCGTCCACCAAGCATATTAACTCGGCGTCTCTTTCTTTGTTTGAAGTTACCAAGTATTCTTTAACGGATATTTGGGGAGGATCTGCGAAATTTTTGTCATAATTTTGAGATGTTTCAATGGTTTGTTAAGTACTTACGTTCCACGTGGATTTGTATGAAACTGTGGCTGGGTTTGTGGTGAACGGGCATGGCACTCGGGCTAGTCGGCTGATCGGCCAAGCATCTGTAAATTCCAGCGCTATCTTTCGATACATTAGGAATGGTAAGCGTATCTCCAGTGACGAGCAGTCTTTCGTTTTCTTTGTGCCATGATATGGTGGGTTTCGGGTAACCAGTAGCCTCGCAGGTCAACATCATCGTTTCCCCTTGTTTGTACTGCGAACACAAACTGGAATTAGTCGGGATTCAATTAACTAAATACTAATTCCTAGATAGTCACGAATTAGCTCTATTAATCTTATCGATATTGTCAATTAGGAACGAATTTTTCGACATACACTCGACACATGCCGTTTAAATCGACCGAAGCCGGCGTCCTTTTTTCGTAGTTAATTAAGTTATTTTAACTCGATTCCTTACTTCAATCTGTCACAGTTCGGTTCAATATACGGCGGTTCTAACAACCTGTATCGCTATAATTGCTTGATCTAGAACGAACACAAAGCGGTACTTCTTTTTTTAAGGAAAAAAGAAACCGAATAGTCCCCTCATCGCTCTTTATGTTGGTTTAGTCTTTTAGAGACGAACGTTGGGTAAATGTTTGAGGATGCACAACAAGTAGAAGTGGTGCAGGGGAATGTAAAAAAATAGCAACAGAGAACAATAGTAAATTAGAGTATCTGTAGATGCGAGAGTATGATGCAAAATGATGTCAATTCTACGAATAAAGAAGAAGTATTAAGTTTTTATTGGAAATTTACAATTTAATTGTGTAAAATACCTACTCTTTGGCCTTACAGTAGTTAAACAATTCGATCTGTTGACTTTCGCAGAGAAATTTCGTAACCTACCTACCGGTAATTAAACGGAGTGAAAGATATTCTTGTTAGATTAAAGTAGTATAAATAAATAATGGCGTTTATATGCCAAGGTTCCCAAAGGTATAATGGTTAAAGTTGTTGCTAGTTTTCAAATTGAAGTAAGTAAATAAAAAAAGTCCAGCTTGGTATTATTTTAAAATATAAATTTTGAACTGAAAAATTCGTTATTATTATGTTCCTATAATTTATAAGTTAAAATTAGTAGTAGTTGAGCTATAATTAAACCATTAAATAATTTTAAACGTGAAGTTTTTTTTAATAAATTATTACTCATCAATAAAAAATATGAGTAATTTTAAGTAACTACTTAATTCATTCCTCGTGGTATTGATTTTATAATAAACAATAAAGGAAGCTAAAATAACATTGTTTATTACATATGAATTATTGATTAGAAGGCCCCTATTACATAGTTCTAAATAAATTAATTCGATTATTAGTTCATCAACATAGCCGAATTGCCCATAAAATATTCATGTTGATGTCATAAAAAGTAGGAACGGATTTAATAAAATAAAAAATAACTTTTCTCTTAATCAACAGATACTAATGTCTATACCATCTATGAAATCGAAATTACTCATAAAAAAGAAAAAGTGTCCATTCAATTATAGAAATACCCGTTATTTCGTAATTCGAATGCACTTTAAATTCCTCGCATACTAAAAAAGGGAACTCCTTAAAGTTTTCGGTTTTACCGGGACAACGCACCGTTTATAAAAAATCGGAATTATTTGAATAATCGAGCAATTAAAATGCAGTATGTTAATAAGAGCTTGTAAATACGTCGACAATAGGTTTGTTTGTAATAAAAAAACTGTTCAGGTGTAAAGTTTGAGGCGATATAATAATAATGTTATACAGGGTGTGAATTACACTTACCACAGTTTCATTGTTTTTGTTGGTCCATATACCCCGAATAGCCGGTGGTGTGGCGGCGACGATTTGATGGGTGAGAGCGGGCCTGCTTTCCGCGTCATTCATCAAAATGCAGGCGTATGCACCGTAATCGGTCGGTTTTTCCACGTGCACTTTCAACGTGTTGTTCGCGTTGAGAACCACGTTATCGGAGTTTTTCATAGGCACGCCGGCCTGGAATAGGAGGATCTTTTCACCGGCGTCTTCCTTCTCCCAGATCGTCACGATTTCTGCAAATCGGCAGATATAAAATCCGGCACGGGGAAAGCTGAAAAATTAACTCACCCTGATTCGTCGTTTCGCAAGGTAAATATATGCTGTCCCCGATAGTCGCTGGATACACTCCGGGCTTGGAGATGAATTCGGCGTGCTCTTCCGGAGGCGACAGATTGTTGTCCTCCTGCGGGGGACTTCCTTCCTCATCGAGCCCGTAGTCAAAATCGTCATTCTGCATGTCATTATCACCATCCACAAACGAGCCGTACGTGTCTTCTATATTCTCCGGTTTTGAATTTCCTGCGACAAAAACGACCAATCAAAACGTGCACTTGGAGAATAGGCGTCGAATTAATTTTCCTGGGAATTAGTTAATACGAAAAAAACAACGTAAAACCCTTTATCAGCTGTACGCTGATTACGCGGACGTAAATTCTAGTTAAATAGAATCCAGGAATTATGTTGATTCGGAATTTGAATTGCAGATTATACTGATTCGTGCTTAGCAAAGGCGCCAAAATGAATATTCCATTAACCTTTTTTTTGTTCGGTTCTTTACAATGCGCTTCGATAAAGAAGCTAGCCCACTAAACCTCAACTTAAGTTATTTTCTGCAAGCAGTGGGTGTACTTATTAATTCAATTAAAGACTTTTACGCCACATACACTTGCCATTAAAAAATTATATTATTGTTATTCTTTCATTATTAGGTGATGAATAATGCTATACCTCTAACACTTCCTTTCAAAAACCATTTGAATAAGCAATTAGCGAGCCCCTCGGCTTATGTGAACAGACATTCGCTATAAATATAACAAACATAGGGGTAGCGGTTTTGGTTTTTCAGCTGCCCCTAATTTCGTTAAAGTGCCACATAAACCGGGACAGCATTGTGTACCGCCTGAGAGAAACATCAAATTTTAGGTATGTGTAATTTATGTGAATACGGCGCTGTTGGAACTTAGATAACGGCAAAATCGATGGGGAAGGTCAGGATGGAAAAAAATGCGGTATAGGTAGATTTTACCTGGCCGTAGAGAAACGAAATATCATGCTAAAGGGCAACCAAATACCGCTCCAGTCGTTTCAGGCTTGAGGTACGGCGCTAGAGAGTTTGGGAAGCGGAGGATTAAATTTTTTGCTACGAAAATAAGGCGACCCAGATACGGATAGAAAGAAAAAGGGTGAGAGATATGAAATACGAACCCTTTCCGTCTGCTCGTATTTTTATAAAGTAATTTCTTTGTGCTCATTCTGATGTATTAAGATGATAAAAATAGATGTGCACCGAACAAAATGGAATGTAACCGATTATGATGTGCTAATGGAAAGCTGACGAAAGATGCAAAATTGCTTACTTTACTTCATTTAAAAAACCCTAAATTGCCTTTAAACCAATTATTTTTTAATCACATAGATACTCGCTTAATTAACTACACAAATTGCAAATTACCGAGTTACTAAACGTACTTCTAACAATCCACCTCGTTACAAGTACACTGAACACAAACTTCAAGCAAACTTTTAATTCGATTTTAAGGGGGATTTTACGATGCGTACGATACTATTCCGGCGTTAGCGAAAAGCCGGGATTCACCCCGGGGTTAACCTTCAACAGCGGGGGTTACTTCGACCTACTAATAGGGCTTTTGTACCCCGACGAGTTGAATGCTTAAAAAGCTGTTTAAAAAATTATTTATCGTTTGACTTTTATACTTCGCGGTTATTGAAAAGGATGATTTGTCATTTCGTAGCGTTTCGGATCGTGAAAAATAAACCGTTCGGGAGAGAGATGCGTGAACACATATGGTTTGTAAATCAAATATCGTATATCACGATGTCACTTGGTCTATTAGAATAGGAATGAGGATTATAAGGCCCGGTTGCCTGGAAATAATAAAGGAGTGTAGGTATAAAAAATATCTATCTAGTTATTACGATAAGGATCTTAATAAATATTCAGTTTCCAACACAATTCGGAAATTTATTTCGAATATTATAGATAACAAACTAATTAAACATGTGGCACTTAATAAGTATAAAATTAACATAGTTTTGGTAGAGAGAAAATAATTGTGGATTGTGTGTGAGTATGGGAAAATTATAATTAGTGCCACAATATCCGAGATAAACCAAGTGCTTGCATCAAGTGTTAAGCATGGTTATTACGTATATCAGGCGCCTTTTTTACAATCATCAATCACAAATTTAACTAGAATTAAATGTCACAACTTCAAACAGAAAGCTTCGATCGATTAATCACAGCGATAAGTTCTAATTTATTAATTTCGAACCTGCACAACTCTTAAATGGAAGTTTGTTTTCCACTCGTATACATGATCAAGCACCAGCATTAGAAAAGTTTTGATTTCGACATTCGAGATCAAATTTATCGGGCATTGACATGACTTTGTTATGATAGGTGGATTATTATCGATAAATACGATACCTACACAAGAGCTGGGAGCTTTATAGTCAAACATCAAACCATAGAGGCTTTCAATCGTAAAACAAACTATGGAAATATTGCATATCGCATCGAATTCCACCGGAAATGTAAGTGAATTTGATATGTCAATAACATTTTATTAATTCAACATAAAGACTTGTTGTGGATACGGACTGTAGTAATACATATGTTGTTATATTATGCGTGTTAACTAACTTCTTCGTTATATTTTAAGCGAATTAGAAATAACTTTAAAAGTGGCCCACCCATTAGGTTTATAATTGAGCTTTCTTTTCATGTAAACTTTAAGTCATCGCTTAATCAACAAACGACGCCGATATCCTGCGTTTTTCCATCGTAATACATCAAAACAACACGTTCGAATTTCTACTCGAAATCAATCAATCAGTACGCTTTCGTTGATTGGGTACAGCATCGTTACGACATATCCATTTAATTAAAATCCGTTGTTACAATTATTCCTTTTAACGAATGAAAGATTGTTTACTCGCATAAGTAACAACACCGTTAATATTATTGAAACAAAATGCAGAACCAGTGAAGTTTTTTACCGGTTTTTACCGAGTCGCCATTAAGAGGGATCATGTTTATTCTGCAATTAAATTTAATGAACCCGTAGTCGGGTTTTTGCCTTATCAAACTCCGGTTAATATCCAGCCATTGATCACTTCGCAATGTAATTTCCCCTATGCCCGATTGAAATCTGGCAAACGGACTGTTATTATGCTAATGCCGAATAAAAACTAAATATTTTCTGTATTTAATCACCGATAAGTGTTTACCCATCTATTTAAAATAGCTCCATACACGTGATGCCAAACTGCATCCACATACAAATCTATTTATAAAGCAAAACATCTAAAAATTCCTGCCGTGTACTAAATTTCCTTAACATTTTAGTACGAGTAATGGATCGTTTCCTCTTCTTATAGAGAATTCGGTTTACACGCCCATAAAATCACATGTTTGTGTTCGTTATATTTTTTTCCCAGTTTTCTTTCCACTGCGGATATTAATAAAATGAGAATCCATTAAAAGAGCTCGAATAGGCCGTGAAAAATGAATTTACGATAGCGTTCCGTTCGAAACGTGACTTATTGTGTTGTAAATAAACAATTATAATAATTACGTTTCGCTGTAGAGGAAACTATTTTAAGGCCGAAGGTTTCGATGATGTTTCCAATGGTACGAAAAATTTCATTTCACTTACCTACGAGAATGAAAGTTCAATTGCACCCGATTCGAAAATCCGGTTGCATCATTATGCAAATAAATATGTTATGATGCTGACTAATTTTATTTACAATTTTCAATCCTACACGGCCGGCTACCTACACATAATTTTAGTAGCCAGCTCGTATCCCATAAGTCTTGCGTTTATAAATAACTCCACTGGAAGGGACTTTCGTTAAATTTATGAACAGTATTAAACCGAGGAATTTATGCAAATAAAAGCCTTTTCTTAGTGTAAAATGATCGAACAAAAGCGGCAATAGCGCTTTCTTCGAGGAAGGGGCAGTTGAACGAAGACGGAACGATTACAAAGCGTTGAGTTAATTTGAAACGGTGCATCAATCGTGCGATTTACAATTTTTGTGATTCCACATGCGGAGCTTAATTTCGTAGTCCTGAAATTCAGGCTCAGAAGGGTTGGTATAAATCAAATCCGTGCCGTCGCCGCGGAACAGGGCACATGTTTTATTCAGGTTTTTCTTTTAAAATGCGAACGTTAATAAAAATGTTAAAAGTCTAGCGTTTTCATGGCTATTTTCGACGATAAGGCAATAATTTAATGAGTTAGGCGTAATGATTTATGAATATTCAGCCGGTTGGTAGATATGGGGCGTGCCAAAAAAAAGGCTTCATTTACTGTAGTGGTTTTTAGGAGCTATTATTAGTTGTACTATGAATGCCATTGGAATAATCTATTTCGGTTGAAAATAATATGGAAATTACAGGCGACTTTCCAACTTGGTTAATTAACATAAAACAGAGTAAAAAATTGTGCGCGTTTATAATGAGGCACTCTGTATAACGGAAATAGGAGCGATTTCACATGCGCTTCTAGTAGAAAATAGACGAAAAACATAACTTTTTTTTATACACATTTTTAAAAATTAATTAATTCTCATTCATCAATACCACAAACACTATAATCTTCTCGACAGACTTTATTACTCACGTGAATGTCGATAGTTATCTTTCTAAATAGTAGTTAATTTTTAACACGTGAACACAAGAAGGCACGTTAGATTTTCCTATTTGAATTTCCGAACAGTTTTTTATCCGCTCGATTCTAGTAAGAATAAATTACTACAAGGTGATTTTCGGATGAGTTATGGCTCGAATCAAAATTTAATCATATAGTTGGGACAATGTTAGTTTTAAATACTGACTGTGAGGTCCCTAGGAATTTGTAGACAAAAACAAAATGAAGCCATTAATGGGCAAGTACTAACCCTTTGTTAGAGTCACATAAATTAAGATAGATTAAGCCAAATAGAGATACTAAAGGAGAATAAAATCGACTGGAGACAGCACTATGAACTACCTTATCGGGTCTAGAGGTAAGATAATAATTATGAAGGTGGTTAAGTGGGTTTTGTTGTAGCTGATTGGAATGAAAATTTTTTGATGAATCAAGAAGCCCAAAGTAATGTTAAATAAGATTTTGTATAAAGTGTAATATTACTACTAATTTAGAGCATAAAACACTACTTATAAATAACCTATGATTCCAAAGAATGTTTACATCACCTTATCGCTTCAATTAAATGAAATAATGATTGTTTTATAAATACAGTCTAAATAATGATTATTCAAAAACTTTGGAAGGTTAAATGAATGGTTTTCGATGTTTACTCAATTTTTGATCTTTCATCTCTTGCAAGAAAAATATTGTTAATGAATGTATCATTTATACAAATTACATCACGTTTGCACGTAACATAAGCATATATTCGTAATCATATTTTGGGAAAGTACATGCTGTTAAAGATGCAACGATTCAATTATTTAACTTTACGTAAATTTGTTATTAACTAAATTTATTATTTTTAAATTATAAAACGTTAACAAGCACATTAGCAGTATCACCGTTTTGGGTAAAAGCTTGTATTACAAATTACATAAGCTAAAAAGTAAACTGAAGATTTCTGTAAATACTCGTATGCATGTTTACTTATTCTCTATAACTTTCTATTAGATAAAATTTTCTTCAATAAAAATCCGAATAGCAAAGCAAATATACGTTAACCAATCGGCATTAAAAATACAATACAATGCGTTGTTTGTTAAATCGTTATTAGTTGCATTAACATGGTTTGACATTAAACAAATAGATAAATCAATTTTGATCTAGTTTCTTCGGTATTTCACAATACCAAAACAACGTTTCGTATGTAGAACTCAAACAATACATCTCGTGAGTGGAATAAGCAGATAAAAACCCCGTTAATGCATCCACATATCGCCCGAAACAACCCCCAAAACATCATAATACATCCATCCTTATAACGCCAAACTCCTCTAGGCCTTTTGTTTTCCACATCATGAATAATATTTTCACGAAATGTCGCCACATTTTACGATTAAAGCCGAGGCAATAAAGATACGTTGGACACGGAGAAATTCTTGCCGTAATAACGCCGCCTCGAAAGGCAAAAAGGGAATAGAGGAGAGGCGAAAGAAAGAGATGTTTTCCATAGATACGTTCGAAGAATTTACTACCATTAAGGTGCGATGATGGACATAAAAGATCCGAGGAAAAATTGATAGGAGAAAATTTTTACAACCTACTACATGAAGTATGTGGAATTTCCATTTAAAAATGGGCGTGTGATCCTTGTGGAAATTGGAGTTTATACTAGACAATCGATAGCGAGGAAAGCAACAGTGCTTATTAATGCACTTAAGCACGAAATGATCAGGTATGTTAATTGTAAGTAATATAATAATTATACCATTTCAAATTTTATCGCGTGCACTCGGCTAATGGCTGATGAATTATACAATTTACATAAATAACGAAAAGTGCAGGAACAAAACGAGAGGAAATTTTATTAGCTTACTTTAACGAGCGATGAAAATTGGTTTAAAAGTATAATAAAGAGTAATGGAGTAGATAATTTCAGCAAAAAGTGTAGTAGGTAGATAAGTAACTACCTACAAACTAAATTAAGCTCCTTTGAATCTCCCTTGGAATTCAGGGATTTGCTAAAATAAAACTCGATCGCAATGGGAAGATTACAGGTAACCCAAGAATGGACAGTGCAATGAATAGATTTCACAATAAAAGCAAAACTTCTCCTTTTACGCGCTCTTCGCGGTTGGAACAGGTTCGGGATAATACAGTTGTAATTACGTTTTCTTTGCCTTTATTGTACGAGAATTCATTGGAAATATTTGCTAAAAAATCACTTCAAATAGTGCGTGAGCGGCAATAACGAATTTTCGTAATATATTTACTATTAACCTTCAAATTCAAGTAGGTAAGTTTTTAAGTTTATTTGCCGATTCAACAATTTTAATATTAATTCGAATTCATTTACCATGAATACCGCGCATAATGTACTTGAAAACTGGTATACGTATTTAATTTTATTTTATTAATCTACATAATTGGCCGGTGTTGGAAATTATAACTGCGTTTTCCTACAACATCCTGGAAACAGAATTTATAACCGGGTGGAAAATAAATAAAAAAATATACCTTTTGTGTTAGGCGCACTTCCTACAAAGGCACAAAGGCCCAGAACAACCAAAATTTGCCGCACATTCATTTTCACCAAATTCACAAATAGCGAAAAATCCACCAAAAAAAATAACACTGCTAATCCAAGTTTTTATTCCGGCTCTCGCAAATTTAATCCGGCGTAACGCGCGCTCGCTTTCAACCGGAGTTTCTATCGGGCTATCTTTAGGCACACACTTTATGACTGAAAACCGGACTCGATCGCGAGTTGGTTCCGAACCTGGTCGCGTTCAGTTCCCCTCTTCGAGATCCTAGAGATGGGCGACGGTATTTATCGCACCGACGCCGGGGTATTCACGGAGCATTCGCCGAAAATCTCGCCGGATAATGGAATTACCTACCTCAAAAAATTGCAAGAGATTCGCCGAAACGCCGATCTGAAGAGACTGAGCGGTCACAATGGTAATAATAGACTGCATGGCTCATGTCTCGACCCGAAAATGTGCAAAGATAAACGGTCAGCTGCTCGAATAATGGCTAACAGGTAGCGGTATCTATAGAAACCGCTCCGTAAAGGTGATTTTCCGGGAAAAATATGTGCACTACACATAATGATCATTATATTCTTTGTTACATATACACAAGACTTGAGTATATTTTTAAAGTAAACTTGCATAGGTATTCACAAACAGTTCCAAAATAACGCTGTCCAAAATAACAGCGTATCTCTTTTGGAGCGTAAAGCATTTGCAGCATTTCAGGCAGTATCAAAATACCAACAGGAGTGGATTTGAGTATGAGAGTATGGATATTCTAGGGTTAACCACGACAATATGCCAGCTAAAGTATGCGAAACGGTTAGCAGAAATCCGTGGTGTAGTTTCATTGAAGTTTTCGGTGCAATGCAGCGGAGAATTAAATCGAAAAAGTTGGAGTATCAAGGGAGTTAATCGGAAAGATAAATTACCAGTTGAAAATTATTTGGACAGGCTAATTTAAGTTAGCGTCATTCAGAGAACAATGGTTATTTTGGTCTAATGATCTAAAAAAATTATCATAATTCAAATAAAATTAAACCGAATTATTAGGATTTTTGGTGTACGTTATCGCGGTTGATTATGAATGAAAATTTCGTTTTCTTTCAGTTGACTCAGTTAATATTTGTCTGAAAACCACAGATGTTTGACGGAAATGAATGTCTAAAAAAATACTCATTTTTCGTGATGAATCAATATTTTGTCACATCTAAGTGCAGGTCAAATACTATTTACTTTTAAACTTCAAACAAAGAAAACTATTAGCACAAATATAACTCGATGATATAAAGGTGGTAATGCAATTAAAATTGGTTTAATAAATAAAAAGGGAACTTCTATTTGATATTCGATATAATGTTGCGTTTAAAGTTTCAGGATAAACATTCATTCAGGATATTTTTCTGAGATTGTGCCAAAATTAACAATGGCCTAAATAGTTTGTACAGAATAAATAAATAGGTTAATTAATATTTCCAGTTGGCTTATTATTTTTGAAAAATTAGTTCTCCATTAACATGACAAGTATTTTTAAATGCTTCATCACCTCATTTTTGAATTAAAACTAAACCGAAAATATTTTCAATTTTCATTTGCGAATGCTCGCAAACTAATCACCAAAAAGTTTTACTACAAGCTTTATCTTTTTTCCATTCATCACTTTCATTTCTGTTGATAAAATTACGTAAGACTAATAAACTGGCCTATAACCTAACTAGGTTAATTGGTAACAAGAAATATGCATATTTGTTCGATGTTGTAAAGTAATTAAAACTGCATTTTTCAGATTCACTTGTGTAGGTATTTAAATTTAGGTATATTCAACTACCGATTTTTTTTCAATTTAAACTCGAAATTGCATACATTCAAAAATTCATTAAATACCTAGGAAAAAATTTGTACGCCAAATTCAATACCAAAACTATGCATATTACACTTTGTTATCGAAATTCAAACAGATCCAAAATAAATACTAAATTTATGGTGTAATAAACCTGACCAAATATTTCGAATCATTACAGGGTGATCTCAGTAACTTCCAAGAGTTTAGTATAGTCAACAATTCTATAGAAAATTTAAAAATTACCCAGTATAAGGATATTATTAGATTTTTTTCTTCCGTTTTTCCATCGAAGATTACAACTGTGTTCGTGAGAATGTTTGCTCACGATAATAACAATAATCTTATTGACATGGTCAGTAAGTGTGAAAAAACAAATACAGTCAACGTCTAACAAAGATATTAGAGAGCTGTAAAAATTCGAATACACCGACTGAAAACTTTCAGCTGGTTTTAGTGGAACAAGGACGATCGGAGGAAAATTTCGACACTACCAAATTCGTTTGCACGTGCACCTATTAGTCGAAAAATGTTTGATTGTTTCGATAAATTTTTCTACAAGTTTCATTAGGAAATGCGAAGGCGCTGAAAAGTGAAAGATGTAACAAAGGAAGTTAAGTATACCTACGAGTATCTATAAAAAAAGCAAATTCGATTAAGTAATTTCCAATAAACAAAACCAAAAATTTAATAAATTTCCGCGTATTAAATTATACGGTTATGTTGCTTCTAAAACACAACATTACATAAATTCTAGAAAGTAATACCAACAGAATAATAAGTTAATAAGCGTTCTCGTTGTCATTGCGCATCTTAATTAATTTAATGAACAACAGCAGCATGGACGATGATACCTATTAATTCTATAATGCAAGTAATAAAAGCCAATTTTAATGATAGTGAAGTTTATCATCGCCAACAATTTATCCAACTGTCGAATTAAAATACTATGCTTAGCTTTGACCTTAAGCAACGGCCTATATTCAGCCGGAAAATCAAGAAACGTTGACCATAAATTGGATTGGACGCTGGGAGAACGAGGCCACCATAAAAATTCTAATGAAATTACTAAATTTAATATTTACCGAGACGTGCTTCGCAGCTTCGGCGCTTTATTAAAACCGGCCGGTCCGTTTTGCATCCACAAGGAAGAGAAAATTAAGTCGGTCGTCGGATATCCAGTCCGACATTGTGTTCCTTGGAATGGAGCCAACTCACCGAATGATGAGGAACTCCTGGTGCAAATAGGTCAGTTCGCGAAGGCGATTATTTATTTAATAATTATTATTACGAATCGGGAGCACAATAAATAGGTGGAATATGTTTCCGTTATAAATTTTGTAATCCTTTGAAACTGGATACAAGAGTTGAAGTATCTGCACAAGGAATCTTAAGAGGTGTTCGAATTCCACCCTCCAAGTTGAAGAGGATGAACTGTAACGTTTGGAAACAAATTAAAGTGGCGTCGTTTTAATTAAAAACGAAGGCAAAAATGGTAGAAAAATAAATGATAGTCTGTTCCACGCCCTTACTTTAACGCCGTCAAACATGAAACGGAATGCATTTTATTTATAGCGCGTTTACCTCGCCCTAAATATTCGACCCTTGGTTGGGCATCCCTTCTCCATATTTCTCCACGTGTATAACGCCAACAATGTCTAAGGAGTGTCTGCCAGTAATGACGGTAATATAAAACGAACGTGTACGAGGAAAACTCTTTTTTATGGAACAATAGGTTATATTTGTACTAGTGTCATTTGCATTTTCGAAAATTTTCTTCACTTGTTGTTTCACATCGATTTCTACAGCTGTATGGATGGAAGGAGTGTCGCATGGACAATTGATTAATACTCTTTAAGTGTCATATATTGATTTTGTTTTCGTATTTGAAGTTGGGCGTGTTATAATATGTGCGTGCATAGCCATGCACACTTGTAATCTATTTAAAGCTGTTAAGCCATGCTGGTATAGGATTAAATGAACAATAATTGGGAATTGGAAGAGTTTCTGCCTTTTTTGGACAGAGAGGGAATACTCTTTTTAATAATATTAAGTAATTATTTATGTATTTTTACGATTTAATTAATGGTATGAAAATAATTCCTGTAAATTAATACTTATGGTACTAATTTTCCTGCTAGTGTTTGGAACAAATTTCTACCGGATTTGTAGAGCTTAAGTAGTTTCTTCGTAATAATCTGTAAATTATTCATTCTGTTAATTATTAAAGAAATCTTTTATTGGCTATTCCGACCCTGACTTTGACAAAGAGTGCTCGAACAGAAGAATTTCTGTTGACATATTTGGCTTGATTGCTTGATTGGGTGATTAGTTGACCATATATCGAAAGAAATTTTCTTTAGGAACAAACATTGATTTCTACCATAAATTTTTATATTCAAAAATATAACCTACATGTAAAGAAAGGAGTACAAAACTGGAGGAGGAAAATGAGTGAAAATAAATACCAAATTATTTCTCATTACTTAAAATTCATTAGGTGTAATGTAGTCAAATTTCCGGGCAATTAATCAAATTAATAGAGAATTAACATCGTTATAAAGCGTTTAAAACCGAAATTACCATCAACTTTCTTAATCGTAAATCTTCTTTCATTCACTATTTGGATATTATCACGTCGTTCTCGGTAAAACGTTGATAACGCATCTCGAAATTTGTTTGTTCTTCACTTTGATATGGTTACTTTGAACTCCAAGTGATTAATATAAAGCTTGTGTACCTAAAAGATAAGGATGCCTTTTATTAGGTACCCAAAAAAATGTAATTACCAGCGACTCTTTCGTAACAAGAAGTTGTCGAGTCTACTCCATACCATTTAACTAAGTACCTATTCAGCAATCGGAATTATTCAAAGAGTTATTTTATTAATTTTGAGTGCTTTTAATGAATTTGGAATAGATACTTTGGTAGTGAATTATTTAATGAATTTAACAGTGAATGAGTTCGTTAAAATCCATTTACCAAAATGCGCAGCCAACGGTGCAATTCACTCGATAATTCTAATTTCCCTACTGCCCAAAAATTCACCGAATGGAACTAATTCGAATTACACATGTTCAAATTATTCAAAGGATCAATTTGTCGCCGTTTCCCGTATAATATTCGCTGATTACGCGTCGAGTACGAAAGCATGAAATCGCAATTCACATACGTAGTAATCATCGAGTTGTGTCTAATTAACGAAAATGCACACAAAAGTGCAGCAATGGTTTAGCGATGAACGAGTCGATATTTTGCATTTTAGTTAAGACTAGGGCGTGTGTGCGCTTTTATACCATTGCTTTTTGCATGTGTTTTCCTAATTTGACTGCTGAATAATGTGAGCGTTCGAAGGCGATGAGAGAAATTTATGTTCTATTATAGGATGGGCCGGGGTCATGGTAA